TGACTCCTTCAGGGTATCCCATGAACATGCATTTCAGAGCTCTAGGTTCGACCTTGTCTTGCCTAATATGAGCATAGGCCACACAGCCAAATACTCTCAGTTTGTCGAGACTAGGTGGATGTCCCGACCAAACTTCTTCAGGTGTCTTCATTCCCAAGGCAGTCGAGGGACATCTATTTATCAGGTAAGCTGCTGTCGAAACAGCTTCCGCCCAAAACACCTTCTTCAATCCAGCACTAACCAACATGCATCTAACCCTTTCAAGGTTTGTTCGATTGAATCTCTCAGCTAAGCCATTTTGTTGAGGAGTACCTGCTACAGTCTTATGTCTTGCAATCCCAGACCCAACACAATAACTGTCGAAAGCTTCGTTGCAGAATTCAAGGCCATTGTCGGTTCTCAACCTCTTAACCTTTCTGCCAGTCTGAGTTTCGACTAGAATCTTCCAACTTTTGAAATTCTCAAAAGTTTCATCCTTCGTCTTCTAAATGAATACCCATAGTTTTCTTGAATAGTCATCAACGATGGATAGAAAATACCTTGCACCTGAGTGTGAAGGATTCCTTGCAGGCCCCCAAAGATCAGCATGAATGTAATCCAGAGATCCATGTGTTCTTTGCTTGCCTTTGTTAAACTTCGCCCTACAGGATTTACCAAATACACAAGATTCACAAAATTCCAACTTTTCGACTTTGTCACCTCCTAGCAGGTTCTGCTTCCCCAATTCGACCAGGCCTCTTTCGCTGACATGGCCCAATCTCATGTGCCATAATTCTGTCTTCGACATAGATTTCATGGATGCAACATTTGTCGAACCACTTACAACCTCAACCTTAAGGGTATACAAGCCTTGTTTCTTCACGCCTCTCAAGACTTCCTTCGACCCCTTCATGACTCTTAGGATACTTTTCTCTCCTTGAAAAACATATCCTTTTCTGTCGAATTCACCAAGAGAAATCAAATTTCTCTTCAAGTCAGGTACATACCTGACTTCAGTCAATAACCTTATTGACTCATCATGGAGCTTGAATCTCAGAGATCCAATACCTGCAATTTTGCAAGATTTGTTGTTTCCTAACAGCACAGATCCACCATCTTGATCACATAGCTCCTCGAACAATTCTCTGTTTGGAGTCATGTGCCAAGTGCAACCTGAATCCATAATCCACTCTTTCCTCGAGTCGCCACTTGAAACCACAAGAACATCAGATGAGTCGAAGTCATCTTGAACAATGGCTGCATTGCCATTACCTCCATGATCTTTCAGGCGTTCAGGGCACAACTTTCTTATGTGACCCTCCTTCTTACAGTGGTAACATCGAATACTAGATGTTTCGCCACTATAAGACTTTTGTTGACTTTTACCTTTTTTCTTGTCGAACTTACCATCCTTTCGCAAGAATTTTCCCTTAACGGCCAAACCTTCGCCCACCGTCGAAGGTTTATGCTCCTTTCGTTCGTTCAAGTCCTTAGAATACAAGGCTGATTGAACTTCTTCAAAGGTCAGGGACTCCCTTCCATACAAGAGAGTTTCTTTGAAGTGAGCATGTGTTCTGGGCATAGCACACAACAACAATAGTGCTTGATCTTCATCATCGATCTTCACATCAATATTTTTAAGATCAAGAATCAGCTTGTTGAACATATCCAACTGCTCAGCCAACACTTTGTCTTCACTCATCTTGAATGAATATAAAGCTTGCTTCAGGTATAGTCGATTCACCAGAGATTTGGTCATGTACAAACTTTCAAGTTTCACCCATAATCCCGATGCTGTAGTCTCCTTTGATACCTGTCGAAGAACCTTATCACCAAGGCTCAATAATATTGCGTTGTGGGCTTTCTCGATCATGCCCGTCTTTTCTTTTGTCGTTAACGCAACGTCCATGGCTGCCTCACCCTTCAACGCTTCCAAACAACCCTGCTGAACCAATAGGGCTTTCATCTTCAAGCGCCACAGACCAAAGTCGTTCACTCCGGTGAACTTTTCAATCTCATACTTTGTTGAAGGCATCTTCTCCACGCTCACCGCACCAATTTGTTGTGAATCGGATACCTTTAAACAAAGTATACACGGTTTCTTAATGATCAAGAAACTCACAAGGGTTAGGTTAACAAAGAAAACAAGGTAAAACAACAAGGAACAACAAAGATTGGTTATTAAACTGCTATTCTTTCCTTTCTCTTAGAACAAGATTACAAGTATACAAGAATAACAAAATAACCTCTCTCCCTTGAAATTAGGATTTTATCTTCCTATTTTTCCTTATGCCAAGATTGAGAAACTAACATCCTATTTATAATAAAATAGCACATGCTAACAACCCTAGCAATATTTACTCATGCTAACAACCTTAGCAATATTTACTCATGCTAACAACCTTAGCAATATTTACTCATGCTAACAACCTTAACAATATTTACTCATGCTAACAACCTTAGCAATATTTACTCATGCTAACAACCTTAGCAATATTTACTTATGCTAACAACCTTAGCAATATTTACTCATGCTAACAACCTTAGCAATATTTACTCATGCATGTTAGAACAAACTTCGACTACAACACGCATTACTTGCGAACAGACTTCGACCACACTAGAGTTCGATCCAATGTCTCACAGTGTCAATACCAAATAATAACACTTGTATGATATTATTTTAGATATATATTATACGGGTTGTTATAGTACATAAACATCAATAGCATTAAAGTAGTAATTAGAATTTGATTCAGACATTTCAAAATTACATCAAATTTTTTTATATATAAAACCAAAAACATACCATCCACACCATATTAACACTCCAGCTCATGATCTTCATAGACTCCAACTCCGATGATATACGTGCCCATCAACTCCTCTGCAATTTTACATACACGTAAGAAGAAAAATGCAACATACTCCAGACCAGAGCATTGCCATCACATATATTTTTGCTCTTTGCAAATTCACACCATCCTAAAGTCATGTACTTTTCATATGCGCTTGGTTCGTTCTTCCTTTTTGCAGTGTGAACCCGACATTTGGATATTTTTGTTTCCTCAACATCAACGACTTTGATCTCATTCTGATTTGATCTAAGACATGTTTTTGCTATTGTTCTTGAAAAATGCTGCATATATGCCAATTGCATAACACTACAAGTTATAATCCCTTTGAAGTATAACACAATATGTCAAATTCAAATATATGCTTACCATATCATTAGTTGCACATGTTTTTGCATTTCCTATGTGCCTCTTCCAAGAATATTGTTTAGCCCCCATGACCCATTCTTCAGTAACTTGAATTGAGACCCAAGCGTTCGCTACAAAATTATTTTTTCCTTTCTTACCCACGAATTTCCCGATAAATTTCATCTTATCAACATGTTTTTTCTTTGCAACACACTTTTCAACATGCCTAACTTTCTCCTTCATAATATCTTTCACAAATTCAATGTTAAATCTATTATCATCTACAATATCAACAACTTCTTTAATATAATGAATAACAACTTTTTCATTGTTTATGGGTCGATTTACAACAGCAACAACGTTGGAAACTTGAGTCATATTTGCAGTTTTTATAGCAGGGATATTACCGGTACCACATTTCTTAGCACACTTCTTTCTCTTAACTGAACATTCACCAATCTCAGACACCATACCTCAAATGATCTCCATGGTAGTTTCGTTGCTAAAATTCAAAATTTACATGACACATCAACAATGTAATATGAATACCAAATTACAGGTCCAAAAAATATATAATCTTTACAGACCAACATTTTTAATCAACATATATAATCATAATTTATAATCTCTATAATCAACATCTATAATCAACATAAATAATCTATATAACTTCTGAAAAGTTTTACATCAATTACCGACATCTATAATCACCTTCTATAATCAACATCAGTTGTCAACATATATAACCTATACAAATTCAAATAAGTATTACTCTATTTAAGATGTAATCAATTCAATATCAGTTGTGTAAAAAAGCATTAGAGTTCAAGAACAACAATAAAAAAAAACCGAGTTCGCATCTCATGTTTCAAATCTTAAATTTTAGGAGATGAAATACATGATACTATATTGGTGTTGGGAATATCCAAGTAAAAATACAATAAAAAAACCCTATTATTTGTTTTTTATTAAATGTTAAAAAGATAAGTTATGATATCATTTCCCAATGCAAATATCAATCATTTTTTATATTTATTCTAATCCTATTAACTGCTCTTGACATTAAAAATCTATGACACGTTACATATACTTGCAGATCTACTATCAGTTTTCATTTCACTTTGGAGATCTATTAAAACTAAAAAGAGTTGGATATATAACTTTTTATTTTATTTAATTTAATTTATTTAACATCAAAATTTTTTTAACGAAATAATATAACGGTATAGTTTTTACTCCAAAATTACACATTCATTTATAGAAAATTACCCATACGAACTATTTTGTGACAAATTTTAATATGCTAGTTTCAAATAAAAAAAATTGATTCATATACTAGAATGAGACGTGACAGAGAGATCCAAACCAGCTTGTGACAAATTTTAAATTAAAATATTTATTTCTGTTTGGATTTGGAACGATGAACAAATATTTATCAAAAATTGAAATTTATAAAAAAGATAAAATCCGTCTGCGTTCAAATTATATAAAAAAAAAAGAATAATTTTTATTTTATTTGATGCATACACGACCTATATAAGGTTGAGAGGTACGACGCAGTGAAAGATCCAAACACTCTCACCTACCTGACTCGGTGTGTAACAACAAAAACAATCTACGTCCTCTTCATTCTTCAACTTGCACTTCAAATTAGGGTTTTCAATTCGATCCACACCCCCAAATTCCACACTCTCACGGTATCAATCAATCCTCTTTCTCTTCCTTCATCACTTCCATTTCACGATTTCAAAATTTTCCAATTATTTCCCCTTTTCGTGCCCTACTTTCACAACTCTCGCATTATCTTTAGTTTCAGGTATGGGAAGCAAAGGCCGCATGCCACCGCCACAGCATTTACGCCGTCCGCATCCACTTCCACCAGGTCCCGCCATGCTTCACCACGACCAAGTGGGTCCTGCAATGCACCACCACGCGCTGCCACCTCCATTTGATCTCATGCCGCCGCCTCAGGTGATGGAACAGAAACTTGCGTCACAGCACGGGGAAATGCAGAGGCTGGCTACTGAGAATCAGAGGCTGGCTGCTACGCATGGGGTTCTGAGGCAGGAGCTTGCTGGGGCGCAGCATGAGCTGCAGATGTTGCACGCACATGTTGGATCGCTTAAGGCAGAGAGGGAGCAGCAGATGAGGTCTGTGGTTGATAAGATTGCGAAGATGGAGTCGGAGTTAAAGGCGGTGGAGCCGTTGAATATGGAGTTGCAGAAGGCGCGTGGGGAGGCTCAGAGTTTGGTGGTTGCGAGGGAGGAGCTTATGGCAAAAGCTCAACATTTGAATCAGGAAATTCAGAGGGTTCATGTTGATGTGCAGCAGATTCCGGCTCTCATATCAGAGCTTGAGCGTCTCAGACAAGAGTACCAGCATTGCAGGTAATCTTTTGACCCTTTTGTTTTGATTTTTGGCTCTGTAGATTAAATGCATAGTTACACATTTCTCTCAATAGATTCACCAAAAAGGCCTAGGTTGGGTTAATTTCTAATTTACAGGAATTTTGTTCGGATTGAAATAAGTTTATAGGTTTTCGTCCTTCAAAGCGTATATAGGTGTTTAAGGAGGAAGTTAAATTAGATAGTTTCGAACAAATTTCAAGAACAAAAGCTGGTTTCAACTTATAAGCTATCTCTTTTAGGTTAACTAACCTGTCAACTCATCAAATCCTCCTATCCTCCCCATTTTGGCCCCTCTCTATCTCTTCTGGGACACATGTTTCAAATTTTGGCCTTTGATCTATGTTGCATATAGCTACAGGATAGGAGGCTTAATATCATCAAGCTTAACATGTTGAATGTTGATTCAAGAAAAGAATTAAACTTAGGAATTACTTGCGTTGCACACAATTTATTAAATTTAGTGTAAACATAGTGAATTCTTTGATTCTTAGAAGAGATGAGATTGGATAAATCAGGGTTGCTGGAGAAGATGAATATCACTAAACCAATTTGAACGACAAGCTATGATCCTCCTGCTTTGCCCACTTTTGCAGGGTAGAATTTATAGGGACTGAAATCTAGAAAGTTTTAATTTTTTTCAGGCTTATGAGGTTTTAATATATGATTGATGATTGATTGTGATTGTCTAGGGTGCCAACAGAGTTGTGATGTTAGACTTCATTATAGCGCCTTTGGAATATGTGATCATGATTGTCAAAATCAGGATTGCACTAAAGGATGTTTGAATATAGAATTAGCGTAAATTGTAGGGTCGTAAAATCCCACCAAATATACAACACTAAAGAAATAACTATGAAAAACAACCTTATCATAAAATCTCACTAATTTAATCATAAGTGGCAAACATTCATCTAAAAAACATAACTTTCTCACACATAATTTCGCAAACATCAACTAAAAACAGGAATGGATGAAAACATAGTGAAAATAGTTGAAGGGTTCTGTTTTTTGAGAAAGAAAGAGAAACTGAAGAGATAATATGAATTTCACTTCCAGAGATGGAAAGGTTGAAGAAATTAATCAGAATTTATAGAAAAAATGGAAGAAGGGAAGGAATTAATTCATTGAATGAATTGTGTGGATAAATGATGACAAATTTGTTTCCAATGCAATATCTCAATTAAAAGGTTCGAGTCCCATAACGAGTTGCACGAATCTCACGATTCCATGCATTTTCTCTACGTGCCGACCCCTTCTCTTTCCACGATCTTCCAATCGATCTAACTCGGTGGAAGGTTGCAGGCGCACGAGATCGTACGATCTCAGGATCTGAAGCGCGATCCTAACTACCATGTTTATGATTAACACTAATAATATGCTGAAGGTTCATAGACCTCCTGAAATGTGCATGTAGTTTGCAAACTTAAAAATAAGTGCTACCTTGTCCATGAATTGTTGTACTGTTACTTTTCCCTGCCAGAGTTTTTGCATTTTTTGTTGATGCAGAGCATGTTTCCTGAGTTTGGACTTTGAAACAGTGTTCTGTCTTCTGTGATTATCTTGAGGGGTTTTCCATAATGAAAAAGGAGAGACTTGTGCTGTTTTATCAACAAACAATTTAGTTTGTCTTTGTTTAAAGCTTACAAAAATAATGTCATAGAAACTGGTAATATAACTGTTTATTAATGGCAATATCTTAGATAACTGGTACTATACCAGTGCATAGATATATTGAGGATATGATGAATATGTGAATAAAGGATAGGAATAGAAACTGTATAACAGAGGAACAGAGCTTGCGGATATAACTTCCAGCAAGGCAGTTATTGAATTGACGAATAATACAAACTGTTTACAATCAGCAATTGAACAAATAAGCCAACCTCTAGGAATGGGAGAGCCTAGTCTCTCAAACCAACCAACCTACGAAATATCTAATGCCCTCCTTTTCCCTTTCAACCTATATTTATAATACTGACTACCTTCAACAGTTACTGCACACACAACATTTTATAATAATACATCAAACTTCCTGTTACTAACATAATGATTCTATGATACAAATAATTTTAGAAGATAATGCTTTTAGTGTGTCTTTGTTATTTATCCCTACTTTTAATCAAATGTTAAGAAGCACCTTTTCTTTTAAAGAAGTTCAAACAATAGGCCCTTAATATTATCTGGTTTAGAGGATATCATACCACGCCACAGGTTGTTTTTCCTTTTAAAGAGGCACAAACAAACAGGCCTTTAATATTATCTGTTTAAGAGGAATTCTTACCAATACCACAGGTTGTACTTCCCTTTTCTCTTCGCAGTCTAATTAAGTTTGTTTTTTCCATTAAATAGCAGTCTAATTAAATTTGTTTTTCCATTAAATAGGAAGGAAAAACCTCTAATGCGTTGTCTGTTATTGCAGTCCTCTTATTTACGATTTTAGTTTGCATGAAGTGTTTTTATTTTCATGATGCTTTTTTATCCTTCTGACTGTTATAATGGGTATGGTTATCTGTAACTTTTCTTTTGCTAATCTGTTAGCATCCTTCAGCTCCTCACAAATATCAAGCATAACCTAAGCAAAAGATTCCAGAATTTTATTGGTTGTCAATACTAGAGTCATTTGATACTTGGTATTTCTCGATCTAGAATTTTATGGTTGTGTGCTTGGATTGTTGTCGGTTAAGTGTTATCATGTCTATTTTCAATGTACAGTTTTTCTGTGGGTACACTGCTCAGCAGTAGTTGATACTAGGATGTCTATGTGATGCAGAAGCAAGGGTGTTATAACAGTGGGATAATTGCTATTAATATGGCTTTTATGGCTTAGAGTCTGATTTGTTTAATGTTGGTGTGAAAGTTCTTTCCAATTTGACTAGCTTGATGCACAGGCATGAATCCCATATCTATTGTGCATTATTTGTTATAGTTCTCACCTAAAGCCCGAGGCTCTCCATTTTATTTGCTAGCTTTTAGAAGAGGGTTATTCTCTACATCACTCAGTTCTGATACGGTTAGGATTAATTCTTCATTTAGGATAATTATAGAAGGTTTAGTTTTTTGAAAAATGGCTTTACTATTTCTTCCCTTTAGATCTTCATATTATTTCCCTACTTAATGGGATAAGGCCTGGTTGTTGTTGTTGTTGTAGATTTTCATATTATTCAATGTCAACCATGAACCATCTTTGATGTGTTCTTTAGTCAAATACTAGCACTAGTAGGGTGATGTCTAGTATTATTTTTTTTTCAAACCTTATTCCATCTTAACATTTTTTCTCATGTTGGGTTGAGTGAGCCGTTTGCACTTGGCTGCAACTTATTTATTTATTTTTTAAATTTTTTTTATGTTTTATCTTACTTGACTAGTCATCCGGAATTCTCAGTTTGACTGTCTCTGATGAGAGTATCAGCATTGCAGGTACCTTTTTGCTTTGCATTTAATTTAAGCTTGGTTTAGTGGGTAAAATGCAGTCACTAGATTTTCTTGACAATGTTGCCTAACTCGTATGGATGCCCCCATTGTATACTCAATCATCGTACTAGAATAAATGTATCAGCTGTATACATATACCTTACCATTTGTTAGAATATAAATGATATCTCATAATATCTTGATATTTTGTTAAAATATCTTGGGTTATCTCCTAGGATTAATTTTGATATTTTTTCTTAGTTTTCGTATCATGATTTCCCTAATTTATTTAAGATTGAGTCTATGTATTTCTATAAATAGGGATCAGTGTTTAGTCTTTAATTTCAAGTCAATATCTAACATGTTTCACTATAAATGTATTTCTAGTATAATTTCTCTTCTCCTTTTATCTAAAATCCCATAACTCAACATGTTATAGTGGCTCGATTCTCTGACCTGTTACTATTCTGCTATCAGTTGTTATAAGTTTCAGAACGATTTCCAGCTCCTTAGCTGCAGTTACCTTCAACAACCACTATCACTGTCATCTCCAGGAACCATCGTAGTGGTCAGCCACCGTCCGCAGCCGTGCTAGAGCACTTTATGGTGTGGTTTTCTGGGGTCCACCGACATTCGGAACACCGTGTACCGACCTAAGTTGTCCTAAAACCTCCTGTTCTGAGAGACGATCGCACACGCCTCCATAATGACACAATTTCAATAATCAGTCACCGCCTTTGCTGCTCGTGGTGGTGTGTCTGGCGAACTTTTCGGCACTGTTTTACACATGAAGGTTGCCGTGCAATCTGGTTCTAGATCCAACCTTTTTCTGCGTTCTGGAACATGGTGACACAGTTTCTTTTGCAACCAACCATTTTCACCTCAATTTCTGTCTCCTCTAGCAAGATTTGTCATGGATTGGTTATATTGCAACTCCGAAACATAACTTGCTATTGTTATAGTCTTTCTTCTTCTTCTTTGGTGTTTGTCATACAATTCTTTTCTTACTAACTGATCATATCAAAGGCTTTTATTCCCACCGGCAATCATTTCTGTGGTGACTCTTTTTTCACATGAGTCATATTAGGGACGACTTCTTTTTCCATTGATGGTCATTCTGGCAATGACTTTTATTGGTTATGACTTACTAGCCTAGCTCTCTGATTTTTCTCCTCGAATGTTACAATATATTGGTTTTTCCCCTAGGATCAGTTTTCAACCTTAGTATATTTTAGGTTATCATCATCTATGATTAGTTTTCATATTTCTTCTTCTTATTACATGTGTAATGCATGGTTATCAAATTCTCTCAATAGACATGCACTGTTCTGAATATCATATCCTGTGTGTTGCATACTAGTTTCGCCTTAAAGAAAACATTGTTATATTAATGTCAAATGTGCGAGATTGCACGGTTTCGAATTGTGGTTGCAGTTGTGAATATGATCACAGTTGCGGTTGCGTCCCCGATGATTACAAGCATTGCGGCTGTTGTGGTTGTAACAATGTGGATTTATTTTATGCTTAGGTTTTATTTTATGTTTATGTTTTATTCTTTATGGCTTATCTTAAAACTCTCGCATCTCTTGTCCTCGACTTCGCCTCTTAAATGTACCTCTTCCTCATTACCAACTCTATCATCCTTGTATCTCCAAACCTTTAAAGTCCCTTCTAAATCTATGTTCTGAAGGGGAATATTGATAAATAATGTGTGGGGACCATAATGCCTGTTGCGGCCCAATGCATATCCATATTTCTATGTATGATGTGTTCAAGACAACTATGATTAAATGTCATTGTATAAGCATTGCTTTCTATCATCCTACTGAAATTTGTATTTTGAGATGCAATTTCTGTGTGATATGTCCTGTTTAGTTGAAGGCAATTTTTTTTGTTGGTAATGCATGAAGATGTAGCAAGTTTAGCTGCAGTTGAATGCATTCTGTAGCATTTATCTTTATCTTTCTTTGAGGGATACAGGGAATAATAACTTGATGAGTTAAATGTTGAGATGTGAGTGTAAGGACAACATTGGTATCTATTAGAATTTGGGTTGGGCCTAACATCCTACAAAACCAGTTTAAGCCGGCTTGTAAGGTGATGATTGCACCCACTTATGAACGCATCAAATGTCATATCTCTAAACAATGTGGGACTAAATCCACCCTTTTAAAGCCAACACAATGAAGGTGTTAAGGGCTCTGCAATGAAGGCAAGCCAAAGTGTCGCAATTAAGGCGACTATGGGCGAACCGCAATTAAGGCGGAAATTCCAACACACCCCCTCACGCTTGGGTCTCAATGAGTCCGAAGCGTGGACGAAGTGGAAAGCCCAATAATGGGTCTAGGATAGGCTCTGATACCATCTCAGAATGTGTGGTTGGGCTTAACTCAATCCTTCAAAACTGATTTAAACCGGCTTGTAAAGTGAGGATTGCCTCCACTTATAAACACAACACAAACCATATCTCTAAGTAATGTGAGACTAAATCCACCCCTTTAAAGCCAACACAATGAAGGTGTTAGGGGCTGTAATGGAGGCAAGTCAAAGTGCCACAATTAAGGCGACTAGGGACGGACAGACCGCAATTAAGGCGGAAATTCCAATAATATATTATTTCTTATTTTCTTTTACTTGCTCATATTGGGTAATCAAGAAAAGAATTGACTTTGAAATTGATGTTTGCATTCTATTTCTATCTACGGGAAAAATTTTGTGAAGGATTTGTTCCATAAGCATTTGGATTATTAGAGAAACTGAGTATATGCAAAACTCTTAAGAATTGTGGTCAGGTCTAACTCAACCTTACAAAACTAGTTTGTAAGGTGAAAATTGTCCCCATTTATAAACATAATACAGATCACATCTCTAAGCAATGTGGAACTAAATCCACCCCTTCAAACCAAACACAATGAAGGTGTTGGAGGCTGCAATGAAGGCAAGCCAAATGCTGCAATTTAGGCGATTAGGGATGGATTGCAATGAAAGCGGAAATTCCAACACACCCCCTCACGCCCGAGCCTCAATGAGGCCGAAGCGTGGAGGAAGCGGGAAACCCAACAAGTGATTTGGGATAGACTTTGATACCATTTTAAAATGCATGAGTTAGGCCTAACTCAAATTCAACCTTACAAAACCGGCTTGTAAGGTGAGGAATGAGGATTGGCTCCACCTATGAAGCACGAATACTTCAAAATCTCTGCCGAATCGTATCCGATATGTATCGATACGCTGATACGTTCCGATACGACGCCAATATGTATCGAAGGAGTATCCCAAATTATTTATTTAAAAAAAAATAATTCCGATACGGTGGCGATACGCCTCCGATACTTCCCAGATACGTGCCCTTTTAATTTTTACCAGATTTTTTAATGACTCTACTTTTCTAACACTCATTGCTTGCCATGTTTAATTCTTTCCTACAACCACTTTACAATAAGTGTTCCAATTCCCATGATTTCTTTTATATTCTCATTATTTAAAATTTATTCATACTAATGATAACTTTTATTAATCATCATAACTTATATATCTTTTCAATTCCTATAACATGTATTCTATATACAGTAAAATTACTTTTACATTCCTAATATTTAAAACTGATTAATATTAATAATGACTTTTTATTAATCATAAGTTTTCAATTCCTATAGTATCCATAGCTTTAAATCTCGCTTAATTCTAATATTCTTTCCAATATATATTTTTTCCAATATTCCTATAATACGTGTTACTGTTACTTATACAATAAATTTACTTTCTTTCCATTCTCAATATTTGAAATTTACTCATATTAATCATGACTTTTATTACTTATATCTTTTCAATTCTCAATATTTCTTTTTATATGCGTATCTTAAACGTATCGTATCCAGTCTTTTCAATTTGTAACGTATTGCCGTATCGGATACGTATCGTATCCGATACTCGTATCGTGTCCCTGCTTCATAGGACTCCACTTATAAACATAACACAAACTATATCTCTAAGCAATGTGAGACTAAACCCACCCCTTCAAACCAATCACAATGAAGGTGTTGGAGACTGCAATGAAGGCAAGCCAAATGTTGCAATTTAGACAACTAGTGGCGGGGCGGACCGCAATGATGGCGGAAATTCCAACAAAAACTAATTTAAAATCACTGACTGATATTAGAAGCTATTGATTTGGACAGATTCTGTCACATCACAAATAAGAAATGTTATGAATGCCTCCTTACTTTAAAATCCCGCTGTGCTCACTTATACATGGTAGAATTACTAGGGGGTTTTACAAACTTATGAAGGATTTTTTTTTTTTTTGATCTGGAGTGGGAGAAAATAGAAGAGGCCATCACTTGCACGTGGCACCTCATTAATCATGATGAGAGGGGGCTTTGGCCCCCCAATATATTCCCGTCCATTTCTTTTATGCTGAGACATTATTATTATTTTTTTATTCTCAAGCGTCTTCCTCCTTTCCAAAGAAAGGTTTTAATGTCTAGTGCTACTACTGAAACTTGCTTAGATGGGACATTTATAATAGACATCCAGGGTTTTAGTTTATGGTAGTTAAGTGCAGTGTTATCAAATTGCGGCGCCATGGCTGCTATGACTGATATACATGGCGGTTTTTGGGCTCGCCGCAATGGTAAATATCAACCGATATTGCGGCGTTTTCTACCCTAATCCGCTATAACGGCGCTACAAAGCAGCAAAAATGGTGGGATTTTGGTTCTCCGCCATGGACCGCCATCCACCATCAACAACACTAGTTAAGTGTAATAATGTTTTATTTCAATGTCCACTTTTCCTTTGAGTTTGGATCGCTAACTGCTAAGTAGTTAGTAGACTTGAGAGAATCTATGACGGGGGACTGAGAATGTGATATCTGTACAGGGTCCCTTTGTTTATGCTTCCAAAGTTTAGACTATATCTTTTGAAGTCATCAGTTTAGATTTTAGTAATGGAATATCCTTCACATTAAGTGTTCTTAGAGCCATATTTTTTTTTAAAAATTTTATTTAGTATGAATGTTCTTTCCAGCCTGACTAACTCTATTCATGTGTATGGATCCCATATCATTGGGGCACTAATTTATTTATTTATTTTTAATTTAAAGTAGGGGTTTTCCCTTTTTATTAGCTTAGCTTTTACACACGGGTTCTCCTTTACATCACTGAACTCTTATACGAATAGGAGTTGTTCTTCATTCTAGTAAGTTGAGTTATAAGGTTTATAACAATAGTTGTAGTAATTTCCTCTCTCCCCCTAGATGTTCAGATTTATCAATAGAAACCATTATTGGTGTGTTGCAGTCAAACCCTCATTTGATGCCTAGTTTCCTTTTTCCGACTCTGTTATGTCTTTACCTTGTCCTACAGAGGTATAGACTTGTGCTCTAGCTACAATGTTTTATTATCCTATTCTGTCTGCTTAACTGGTTAACCAATATTTTCCAGAAATCCCCGTAATTCTAATTTCCATATATAAATTTTCTTTCCTCCAAAATGCATCAATTTCTCAGAACTGATTATATCTTTCTTTTAAGTTGCTCTGAAATGATTATATCTTCTGTCATTAACATTCCATTTAAACCTGGTAGCTTTCTTCAGCTTGATTATATCCTAGTAACTGTTGACCTCGAAATCCTAATTTCATGGGTATAGAATCTGCTCCCTTGACTTCTGAAGTTGGAATCTCTGTATTATGAATCAAGACCCATGGTCATTTTGTTTTGAACTATACCAAGTTTTTGAAAGATTCCTCCTCCTCATGCAGTTTGTATTCTGAGCTATTTCATTTGCTTAGTCATTCAAACTCATGGGAGTCTCTTCAATCCAAAATCTAAAGACTTTCTTAGCAATTTGATAGCCAGGGAGGGAATAAGACTAGGCCTGTAATATCAGGGCATCATCCTATTCTTCTATTTTTTATGCAGGCCTGATTGGTTCAGTTTAGGTGGTTGGAAATGTTAGGCTTAGAAGTCAAAAACAGGTCTAGCAGCTATGAGTCTGTATTTTGGTTTATTGGTAAATCTTCCATTCTTCATGTCCATATGCCCATTCTATCTAGCATCCAAAAGGCCACCAATCTGACCCTTCAATCCAACCCATGATTTGCAATTGATCCGTACATCACATTCACCTAGTGAACTATCAATCCACCAATTTCCATCTGGAATTCACCCAAGTTAACCCTGAACCAGCCCATTATTTCTATTCTCTCTTTCGTTACATCTTGCTAGTGTAGCATCAGAATACCATGTTTAGTGCCCCTGATATTCTGTTGTTCTGGTCGTGCAGGGCCACTTATGACTATGAAAAGAAATTATACAATGACCACCTTGAGTCACTTCAGGTGATGGAAAAGAACTATGTTTCTATGAGTAGGGAAGTGGAGAAGCTTCGAGCAGAGCTTACAAACACGGCTAACGTTGATCGAAGTAGTATGTATCTCCTATGTTATCTGTGTTTTCTACGTTAGAGTCCTTAGTCTTCAGTTTTTCATGTTTTGTGGATTGATCATGGCGTGCAATAAAATTTAGGTGGGCCATATGGTGGCACCTCTGGAACTAATAATAAAGAGGCTTCTGGTCTTCCTGTGGGACAAAATGCATATGAAGATGGTTATGCCGTTGCACAGGTGTGTGATGACCCCATGTGTTATGTTGTTTTAAGTTTCCCTGCGGGAGTGCATCATTATAGTCCGTTATCTATATTTATTAACTTATTAGTTCCTGAAGTTTCTTTGATAACGATTAATGTCTGGATTAGTTTTTGCTTGTGTTGACTTATTTAGTTATTTTTATAAAATCTATCCAATGAAATATAGCATATCTGTACATTCATTACAAGTTGATAATAAGAACTACATGTCTCTGATCTTCTGTCAACTAGTAATGATATGTTGCTAGGATTATAATACTTTAAATCCAACCTGATGAGTTTTTCTTAAATATCCAAGTGCTTAGCAGTAGTTTTGTTTATGTCTCCTAGAATCCAACCTGAATTCAACAGACTTTGATCTGATTTATATCATAAGATTTGTCAGTTATCTGATTTGTGTCATATAGGCACTTATTAGTATTTACTTTTCGCCTTTCTGATTGTACAAATTTAACATATAAGAGTTGTGTTGGTTACCTGGATAAAGAATTTAAAAATCTGTAGTTATCTCTGTTGTAATATCTGGTATCTATAGAGTTATTTCCACTGTTAAAATGTACAGTGTTGGTTTGCTTGATTACGATACAGGGATTATTTCATGCATGTTCAGAGAAAATTAACCTGATTTGGAAGAAATTTAGATGTGCATAATAGAAGTTGTATGTTCAACTGCTTTGTTATTTTGTGCCAAAAAATCCAGTGCTAGAAGTATTAATGTAACAGAGGTTTTATTGTGCTGCCAGAACTACCATTTAGGAGGGCTATATGCTTTATCTTCCATGTGAATTTTGAATATTAATGCTCTGTCGCGCATCTCTCTTTTTTTTTCTTGACAGGGACGTGGTTCTCTCCCTACTGCCAGTAGTGGCGGTGGCAATGCTACTACAACTACTCCAGCTGGAGCTCAACCTGGTTCAGCTTCTGCGGGAACTGGTTATGAGGTCACCAGAGGAGGGCCTGGTTACATTGCATCTGCAGGGCCTACTTATGGCACACAGAATGGTTCTACATACGACCCGCAAAGGTTGACTGGTTATGATGCATTTAGAGGATCTGCTTACGATGCAGCAACGAGAGGACAAATGTTTGATGCTCAGAGAACTGGCTATGATCCACAGAGAGGTTCGGGTTATGAAGTACAGAGAGGACCCGCTTATGATCCATCAAGGACAGCTGGCTATGACGCACAATCAAGAGGTGGTGCTGGTCCACAGGGACAAGTTCCACCTGTGAACAACATGCCTTATGGGTCTGCAACACCGCCTGCTCGTAATGTAGGTGGTGGTGGATACGATGCCGCCCGAGGTGTAAACCCTGCCAGGAGATGAGCTTTCATTCCAATCATATACTTATGTCGGGTTGAAGTCAGATAGAATCTGGATGGGTAGAGCTTTTGACTAATCCCTACCTGACTGCCTTTTACCTTATGCCACCGAGAAAAATGTATTAGTATCATTGAGAAATGCATTCTTACAGCATATATTTGCTTTAGAATTGATGTGTAACAAAGTATCAATGAACATCTCTCTTTTTATTTGTGTGAAGCAAGCAACAACATCTATCTATTGCTTAATCTTCCTTTTAGCTTTTAATTTTATAACTTCACAAGATATATTCAACTCCTATATTAAAGAAAATGATTGATCTTATGCAAGTCAAGTAATTTTACCTTCCAACTAAACTCCTATATAAGATTTTGATACTATTGTTCCTCAATCAGTTGGTGTATGAAGGAGCTTGTAATAGAAAAGAAAAGAAGAGAGGCTAAGATAATTTAGGGTTTAAATGTAACTCCCCCATGTGACCCTCCCATGTGTTGTTATTTAGAATCTACATTAATTTCTAGTCTCCATTTGTCTTCTTGTATTGCTTCTTTAAAGTATAGGGACAAAAAGGTAGTAGCTATATCAAGTTGTTCATTGTTCGAATCTTTCAATTTGTGGTAGTATATATAGTTTTGTTGATAGGTTGAGTATGACCCCTCATCACTATGTGCAGTGTGCATGCAGCATGTCACTATAATGAATTGAAATTGGAGGCAGTGTAAATTCCATTCAGTTCTAAGTATTGTTTCATGTGTTGTTTTAAATTATAATCCAAATTCCAACTAAGAGAATATGTTGTTTGAATCACATGGCCCCACTGTCCTACATTAAGAGAACATTCACAACCAAAATGTGTTTCCTTTCATTCTCTAGTTTGCTTTCTGCTGGTTCTTTATATGCTGTTTCTGTCTTTTGTTGTTTGTTTTGAATTACGTAACAGGTTCGTTTAAATTCATTCTTGCAAAGTGAGTATGATTTTTTTCACTTTCAGGAAGAAATTTCTTACCATTTCATTCAAGTACTTTTCGGTTGACATTTAGTATCAAATCACAATATTGAAAAAATAGTATCTAACAATTTTTTAAAGAAAAAAAAAAGTGATGATGATATTAATATTTTGGAGTTATGTTATTTTTGGAGAAAACAACTCTCTCAAATCACTTTCCTCTAGAAAGTGTCTTTGTGCATTGTAGAGTTTCATTTCATATCATATCTCTTGTCCTACTTCATTGTCATCCCCACATCTCATATGGTTCACATGCAGCCAATTTCCACATCACACATTTTCAACTTTAGTGGCTACCCACTACACTAACTGCTAATAACGGTTTCTTTATTTTAGATTTTTAATTAACTATTACATCCATTTATTTTTTAATTATTATTTACTATAACTTATATCTTAATTACACGTGGTTTTTGAGCGCATGCAAAACCACCTTATGTTCTATTTATTAGAGTTACTCTTTCGTATATTTTATTTCATCTCTTGAACACTTCTGGCATGGGGTTGTTTATGTTTTATTTTTTTTACTTAAACTCATTATGAGCTAAATCTTTATATAGTCAAAGATTAATGAAATTTTAATTGATATATTCATGATTAAATTGTTGGAACATGTAGTATATTTTGAATAAAGTTATTTATTAGGATAGTTAATTGAATATTCATGTAGTATATTCATGTAGTATAATATGTGAATATTGTAAAAATTATCTATAACGGACAGGGTAGAAATTCATAAAATAAGTATGGGCACGAGCAATTATTCACTAAAATAAGTGAATATGCATGTGAAAATGTTGACCTTAGTACCCAACACCCCATATTCGCATATTATACACTTATATATTTTTATTTTTATTATTATGCATATATGTTAATCTATCAATTTTATTAAATACATTAATATTAAATTTCTATACATTTTAATATAAATGTTTGTTTATTTTTAACTCAACAATAGCATCCTCCATTATTTTTAAATATTAAAAAATTAAAATGACATGATAAACTAAAATTGATTAATATTTTTTTTAATTAAAAATACATATAAATGAGTATGAGTATAGGTACTTAACTAGCCATAAAATACGAATATGAGTACAAACATTAGTGTCCATACAAATATGAGCTCGAGTACGATAATTTTTTTTAGTTTGAAGTTAGATACTATAGTATCTTGCCAAACCTTATCCATTCCCATCCCTATGTGTGACAACCAAAATATTTTTTTTACAAACAAGCTATTTAATATAAGAATTTTAAAGTCAAATGCACCTCAATCTTCTTGGGTTTAACTGTACTACTTATTGATAATGTATAGTTTTATTGATTAACATATATTAATCACAAAATATTGATGTCATTGTTGAAGAGTACACTTTTAAGCATTATATATATATATATATATATATATATATATATATATATATATATATATATATATATATATATATATATATAAACTTATTTGCTTTTACTACTAATCTTTTAGGGAGTGTCTAACATGAGTGAGTTGTATGAACAAGTAACACTCCTCATCAGAATTCCACATTGATTATAAAACAGAGGTAACCTTTATAAGAATGAGAAATTTGATAAGATTCAGAGTTGAATATTGTTGAGAAAATAGTCATTCAAGTGGTCATGTGGTTAATGATAGTTCATTAAGTGGTTAATGATAATTCAAAATGTAGTTACTGATAGTTCAGTAAGTGGTTATTGATATTTTAACATGTAGTTACTGGTAATTTAACATGTGGTTAATGCTAACTATGTATGTGATTACTAATTAGAAGTTAGTTAGTTAGTAATGTGATACTATATAAAGGATGTAACACAAATATTTGTAAACTTTTTATCCATGAATATATCATATTTTCACCCTAATTCTCTGTATCTCTTCATTATTCGTCATTGTTCTTGTGATTGGGGTTTTTTCCCCAACATTTGGCATCAAGAGCCAGGTTCTTTGGTCGAACACTTAGTGTGCGAAAATGCTTTCCATCTCTAATGAACATATCCCTGCAAATATCCTAATTCTCAATGTGAATAATTACGATAAGTGGTGCAAATAGATGAAGATGTTGTTTGGTTATCAAGATGTTCTAGAAGTGATCAAGAATGATGTTAATCCACTTATAGAAGGTACAACAGTTGCATAGAAGACTAAACACAAGAAAGATAAGACGGAAGATTTCAAAACTTTGTATCTCATTCATTAATGTATCGATGATGATAATTTTGAGAAGGTTATGACGACACATCCTCAAAGGAACCTTGGAAAATCTTGGAGAAAAAATATGCATGAACTACTAAGGAAAAGAGGGCGAGGTTACAAACATACAAGAGTCAGCTGAAGTTAATTCAAATGGAGGAGAAGGAAACCATTAATGAATTTACTACAAGACTCACAAGATTGGTGAATTAAGTGAAAGCTTGCAGAGAGACAATTATCGAGCAGTATGTGATTGGTAAAATCTTGAGATCGTTAACGTCAAGATTCAATAACATAGTAGTTGCCATTGAAGAGTTTTGGGATCTTTCAACTATGATCAAAGAAAAGTTGCAAATTTCTCTTGAGGCTCATGAGCAGAGAATAGAGGACAGGAATATTGATAAAGAAAAGTTTGAAGTTTCTTTGCAAGCTTGTTGCATTGGAAAAGACAAGAAAGTGAAGGGAAAATGACCTATGAGTAGAGGTAGAGGAAACTACCACAACAATGGTGAGAAAGACTCCCAAAATTACAACAAATCAACATTTCAAAAGGGTGAAAGTAGCGACAACAAAGGTGGAAGATCAAGCAATTACAAAGGTGGCAACAATAGATGGAGATGGAAAAATGACAAGAGCAACGTCCAATGTTATAACTTCCAAAAGCATGTACATTTTGCTCGCGAATGTCATGCCAACAAGAATGATCCAAATAAAGCTAAATCAAAGTTTTCAAGGAAATAAGATGATGAGAGCACACTGTTAATGGTGATTGCTGAAACATAAATCAATACAGAAAATTGCAGCCAGAATCAGGTACAATTGCTTGAAAATGTGATGGTGAATACTGAATAGTTTAACGGAACACCTAATGAAGACCCACATTTGTATCTAAAACAATTTATTAAAGATGCTAGAAATTTCATAATTGCAAATGTGAAAGATCATGCTCACAAGCCGAGTTTGTTCCTTTACTCCTTGGAGGCTATTTTTGTCAATACGTGGCAATAGCTTGTAGGAAAAGTATTGGTGAAATATTCCCCCATTCTGAATGATATGAAGAGAAATGACATTACCTTTTTTTACAGAAAAATGAAGAAAATCTCTTTGAGACATGTGAAAGATTTAAAAAATTTCTTAGACAATGTCCTCGTTGTAACACCCTTAATTCAATTAATTAATTTAATTTAATTTTTATTGTTTTTATTTAATTATTTGAGTGATTTGATATACTTTTAATTGTCTATTTTGGTGGTAGCATGTGTTATGTGATTTTTTGAAGTTTATTAGAATTTTAGTTAATTTTAAATGATTAAAATAATAAAATAATAATTAATTAAATTAAAAATTAAGAGAAATAGTGATATTGAGGCAGAAAGTAGAGTTATTAGAAAAATAAGAGAAATAAGAGAAAGTAGATGTGAGTTTGTAAGTAGAGATTACACTTAAGAAAGGGGAATTATGTACTTCAAAAATTTTCCAATTTTATCTTACGTTGAGTTCTCTTTCCTGATTATTTACTAAGTTATCAAAGCGATAATGTGCGGAAAGTAAACGACACAAGGATATATCCTAGTTCCCCTCACAGTCCAAGAGTAATCCAGTCCCCTCATCACATGTAAGAGATTTTATGGACAAGACAATCCTAGTTTTCCTATACAAGATTCTGACACAATCACCAAGAACAATCCTCTTGGAATTTTTCACTAAGTTGAAATGAGAACAATCCTCTCAAAACCAACTCTCTTGTTTCCAACAATCCTGGACAACAAGGATTATAATAAA